TTCAGCACAATCTCTCTGCCTAGCATTGCTAAGTCCTTTGTACACAATTCCTCATTCTTGCTTTTACAAATGAGAAATCTTGCCCATGAGAAAGATGACACAGGGCACACTGACTGTAGCAATGCATAGGGTTGATGGAGGATACTGGGTGCTTTGGGGGGAGGTTTGTTTGCTTTCTCAAGATGGAAGAGCTCTAAGTTGAATAAGCCAGTAGACAGGAGTTTTATTTTACCCACACAGTGGCGTAACAGAAAAATTTTATCCCCAAGGTAAAATAGCTCATACGACAATAGCCATTAATGGTTAATCATTTTGGCCCATGGCCCTTACTACTCCTGAGTCCTAGTTTTGCCATCTACAGTTACACAAATGGTCATGCAGAATAAGCACTAATGGGGAGCTGTGCCCACCTCTGTCTTCTCTCAGCACTCACTGCAAACCTCTGGTGTTACTCTTGTCTCACTGCATTAGAATTATCTATTAAAATAGTGTCTTCTTAAGTTGCGTATGTTCTGCAAGAGCAAGGACTTGCCTTTTTCATCATTTCCCAGCCATACCTGACAGTTGCCTGCCATGAAGCACTCAACAAATGTCTGAATAGAATCATTTTTTTTCTAACTAAATTTTTTCTCAATGACTTAACAAATGGCTCTCTTTGATAGGTCTAATTTAGATTGAATTCATCAGTCAGAGTTCAAGCATCAAAAACTAACCAGGACTAATTTTTCAGAGTTTCTTAACTAACTTTTCCATAGTATAGCCACAATGGAAAACAACATGGAAGTTCCTCAAAAAAATTAAAAATAGAACTACTATATGATCCAGCCATCCCACTTCTGGGTATGTATCCAAAAGAAATGAAAACAGGATCTCAAAGAGATATATGCACTCCCATGTTCACTGCAGCTTTATTCACAACAGCCAAGATACGGAAACAACCTCAGTGTCCATCAACAGATGAGTGGATAAAGAAGATGTCATGTATATATACAGTGGAATATTATTCAGCCACGAGAAAGGAGGAAATCCTGTTATTTGCAACAACATGGATGGAACTTGAGGGCATCAGGCTAAGTGAAATAAGCCAGACAGAGAAAGATAAATACTGCATGGTATCACTTATTTGTGGAATCTAAAAAAAAAAAAAAAATCAAACGCAGAAACAGAGAGTAGAAAAGTGGTTGCCAGAAGCAGGGGCTGGGCAGGTAGCGAGGGAAATAGGGAGAGGTTGGTAAAAGGGTACAAACTTTCAGCTCTAAGATGAATAAGGTCTGAGCATCTAATGTAAAATATGGTGACTATCATTGATAAAACTGTGTTGTGTAATTGAAACTTGCTCAGAGAGTAGAACTTAAATGTTCTTACCAAAAAAAAATTTAAAAACTAACTGATTAAGGTAAAACATAAAAGAAGTTTTAAAAGGATGCCAAGTCTCTCAGGAAGTCGATAGGAAGGCTAGAGATCAAATTTGGAGGACAAGGCTGCCAAAATCACAGCCATGGTTCCCTTGTCATCTTGGTTAAGTAGTCTCAGGGGCTCTGCTGGCATTGCTGCCACTTGACACTATGCTGCTTTTGCCCACTACTGTTAATAAACTTCCCTTAATGTCTCTTGATCCAGATTTAAAGTCCCAGATGAAGCACCCTGTTGCCTGAGCCTAGTCTCAGTCTCAGCTCTAGTAGCCAGGGGACAGGAAAAGGGACCACCTTCCCTCTTCAGAAGAGGTGGCTCCTGCCTGTGATCAGATCTACACTATAGGACAGCTCCCTAGATGAGGAGGAGGGTTTCATCTCAGGCTTCCACAGCAACGAAAATGTCCACTAAACTTACTGAAAGGATTCTGAATCATTGCTACAAAGGATAGCCTTCCATAGAATTTTTAAAATATTAATAAGATAGCTTCCTTGCTGGCTGAAGTGGTTTAAATAACAGTTCTTCCATGAAGCAGAGATGGATTGAAATATAATATATCCCCTCTCAGCTATCTCCTGAAATGCTAGAAATACCTTCGTGTCAAAGTCTTATCAGAAGAAGCCTGAGAGCTGGAATCTAGAATTACATTCCTTTTTTCCCCTGGATTTGCTACAAAAAAGTTAGTAAGAAGATGCATTTCCTCTCTCTAGCTGTCTCCTGTTTTTGACTGATACTACATACAGCAGTGGAGCATCTGTGTTTCAGGAAATGGACGTGTGAAAACAGTTTTCAAAAATGTGCACTGTCTACATAAAAAGAAAACCAAAAATATGTTTGGTTATCACTTTGTAGAGCCTATTGAATTTGGCTGTGAATGGGAATCTAATTGCCATCCATTCCTACTGGATCCTTCTGCAAACATTACATTTCCATTAAGTAGAGAAGTCAGCTATAGCATCAGGGTGTTGATGCTGAAATTGTAAAAGAAGAAAATTGACTAGTTGGTTGTTTAATAATTTATATTTCTTCTTGACAGACCATTAGAGGAAACAAGCAAAGCTACAGGTACAGAAAATATCATTTGTGTCAGCAAAGGTATAAAGGACATATTTACTGAAGTGTTACAAATGGCTCCCTGGTTTTGAATGATGGCTACTGGATTATGCTCCTATTCTTCCTTTAGAATCAGAGAATGTCTCCTTCATCACCTGCTCTTGTTATCATGGGATTGGCATAAAAGTATTGCCACTTGTAGGGCTGAATTTAAGAACTAAGGGACCCACAGCTTGGGTCAGAGATGCCAGACTTAAACTGCGCTTGGTGCAGAAAAATCTGTTCAATCTTCCATCCAATGGTAGTAAGAAATAATATTGTATTTTTGTGAACTTGGTACCTTGATGGTTATGGTCAGTACCCATCCTCCTTCTCATTTTGATTTTTCTTCTTCAGTGATTGGATGACCAGTATCCATTTGATGAGTTGGCCAGTCTGTTTTTTAATAATTTTGTATTCTTTTTTGATGAGCAGTTGTCAAAGGGAAGGGGCTATTCCAGCAGTTCAGATGATGAGATTTGCAATTGAGAATGTAAAAGCACACAGATGCCAGATTCATATTGCTCAAGCACAGCTCCAGTCAGTATCTTCCCTGACTAAGTCTAATGTCTCTAACTCCCTGCCTGAGTCCAGAGTTCTACCCCTGGACTCTAAGTGTCTTTGCCATGTAGCTTCTGCCTACCTTCTGGCATTTTATTCTGCTATTTTCCCCTATGTACAGTATAGATCAGTTCAGTGGTTCTTGATCCTGGCTGTACATCATAATCACCTAGGAAGCTTTTTCTAAAAACACTGCTGCCTAGGGCTCACTATGTGCTAATTGAATATGAATCTGGAGGGGGAAGCACAGGCATCAGTTTGGTTTTTCTGTTTTTTTGGGTTTTTTAAAGCTTAGTTTGGTTACCTATTATTATAAAACAAACCACACCAAGACTTATTTGTATAAAACTGTGACCATTTTATTATGTGTTATTGTGCTTAATTCTGTGGGTCAAGAATTCAAACAAGGCACAGCATTGATGGTGTGTCTCTGCTCTATGAAGTTTGGAATCTGGGCTGAGACAACACAAATGGCTGGGCTTGTCTCAAGCTAGGTGCTGGAATCATCTGGAGGTTTCTTTATTCACTTTTCTACCAGTTAGGCTGGGATGACTCAAAGGCTAAGTTCAGCTGGTACCGTCAGCCAGAGTGTCTACACGTGCTTCCCATATAGCTTGGGCTTCCTCAAAACATGGAGGCTCAAGGTAGTCAGATTTCCCACAGGAAGCCCAGGGCTCCAGAGGCAAATATTCCATTGGAAAAGGTGGAATTGTGGGGCTGTTTACACACGTAGCCTCAGAAGGTCCATAGCATCACTTCTGCTGCATTTTATTCATCAAAGCAATCACAATCTTTCAGATTCAAGAGGAGGAGACCCACCCCTCCATGGGAAGAGTGTCACACATTTTACGGTTGGCATACACACCTGGTAATTCCAATGTACAGCCAGAGTTGAGAACAACTGGATCCAGCAAGGCTGGGACTTGGGCGAGGTGAATGAGACACCTAGGGTGCAAAATTTAGGGAGGCAGTCACTCTCAGGATCATGCAAGTGCAGGGTAGTTGTGTGTAAGGCACCTCCCTGGCCTGGCTCTAGTCTAGGCCCTGGTACAGAGCAGCTATATATGAATCATGCATGGGAGAGGTACATAGATGCCCAAGTCGCATACTTTGATATTCTGATTCAGTAAGCCAGGGGTGGGGACTAGGAGCTGCCCCATCAATTCTCACAGGCAGAGTCTCGTTTGGACAAGATACTTTTCTTATTGACTCATCTTGCTCCCAGATAGTTCAACTTTGTAACCCCCACAGCAACAGGCACGTGCCTTGCATATTTTTAGAGACTCAGTAAACAGTGGGTATCTCTCCCGATGAAAGGTGAGATTACCATTTTTGCAGCCCTCGCAGAAGTTCTCAAATACTGAAGAGTTACCCTAGTTTAAATTTTTAAGCACAGATAGGGACTGCATCCTTTATTGTCACTTCAACTTTGGAAAACTTCTTGCTTGAATGTTATCTGACAATCTTTTCCCCATAGCTAAGCTTTTTTTGACGCTTACTCTGCAAAGTCCACAACACTACCTTTGTCGATGGTACTATCACATATATGCATCAAAACTCTTTGAGGCAAGCATCCTCATTGTGGCCATTTTACTGACGAGGAAAACTAAGGCTTAAAGATTTAGTAACTTGCTAGATCACAAGATAAAGTGACCGCGGCAGGTTTCCAACTCCGGCCTCGAAGATTCCAAAATTCAGTGGTTTAACCCCTATCCTAATCCAACTCTTTGTTGATTAGCAGTATCTACTAATTAACCCGCCTTTGGAGAGGCTGGAGAGTGTACACAGCTCTGCTTGGACAAAAGCAAAGTTGGCAAAACCTCTTTGAATCCTTCTAACTCACAGGGTTTCCACCCTGGGGTGCGCTCGGGGGCGTCCTTACTTCATTCTTTGCCTGTTCTGGACAGACGCCCTTCCATCTGTTCGCCTTTTCTGTCTGGGCTACCTCCTCCCTCGCGGCACGTGAAGCTGTTGTGAGGTGGGCAGAGGCCCCAGGGGTATATCTGGCCAAGGCCAACGGCAATGCTGGGGTCAGAGTCTGCTCCCCGGCAAGGGGGCCGGCGCACTGCTAAACGCAGGGGTGAGCCAGCTCCAGGAGCCGTGAGCCAGGGGAAGGGGGAGGCGCGAGTTCCAGCGCGTGGCAGCGCGGAGGCCGGAGACCAGGAGGGGAGAGCGAGCCGCAGAGAGACGCAAGCGAGGCGCGCGGGGGAGCGCACACCCGCTCCGGAGCCCGAGCCTGGTGGCGGCGGGCGGCGAGGCAGCAGTGCGGCCACGCCCTTGCCCGAGCCTTGCGTCCTCCCAGTCCCGCTCCTACCTCCGGCGTCAGGTCTCCCGAGGATGGAGGATTCCCGGGAGACGTCGCCGTCCTCCAACAACTCCTCGGAAGAGCTCTGCTCTGCCCTGCAGCTGTCCAAAGGCATGTCTATCTTCCTCGACGTAAGTACAGCGGGAAGGAGTTAGGTTGGTGGTCCCCAGTGTCTCTCCTCATCCCCGGGAGGAAGGGGGTCGGTCCAGGTGCTCATCAGCCTGAGTTCTGCCCCCAGAACACCGGCGAGAACCACCTTCTACCTTGCTCCCTTCTCCCCCTGGAAAACTACCGAGGCAAAGGCCAGAGAAATGACCGCCGCTCAACTTGTAAAAAGGGCTGTCACAGACCTGCGGCTTGGGAGCTTGGGGCTTAACAACCCTTAAAGAATTCCGAAAGTTAAATTTCCCATCAGTCTGGGTTTCGATAGGGACTAGATTTGTAAATACAGCAGGATCCATTCGAGTGAATATGGCGTTTTAAAGGGAGCTAAGGGAGTGGGGGAGCATTGCCCCAACTCATCCTTAATGTCTTCTGTTGGCGGCCCGCAGTCTCGCTGATGCTCGAAGGCGATCAGGGGAAGCAACAGAGATTTCCATGCCCCGCCATTCTCACCCAGCCCTCTCGGAAAACAATTGCTCCGAAAACACACTTGTTTTTCTTTTTACAGCCGTGGCCATGAAAGATGTCTTTCAAGATGATTCTTTTTTCACTGCCACCTCCCATTTTCCCGTTTTTCGTCCCTGTTACTCTCCCTCTCTATACCTCTCCAAATTGTAATTACCGTGATTATCTTCATCAATTCTAGCTTTTGACTGCTTTTCCTTTGGTCCTCCCCCTTGCTTGGGTATTGATTCCTTTCCTCCATTTCTCTGATATGATGATCATTCTTTCTCATTCTTTCTTTTCCTTTCTCTGGTATTTTTCTGCCCTTGTGCTGTGGTTTCTCTCTTTATAGCAGTTTTATTTATTATTTGTTTCTCAATTTTGCTTTACTCTCCCTTCCTGCTGTTTTTATTCTCTATATTTCTCACCCTGTTGCACATCTCTTTTTTTCTGCCTTTAGGATTTGTGATTTCCCTGTCCCTCAGTCGACTGCTGGGCACCTGGTTCTCTCAGCCCCTCGGTTGTCACATTCCTGCTGTCTCCCAAGGTAGTTTCCGGCTCAGTGGGAACAAGTCTGGCTGCTTCTTGTTTAGGCATGATAGAAAATGGGGCAAGGGCATGGAGGAGTGCTGTGTCCTCTTTCCTCTACCCTTCTCTGAGTTATCATTTCTTATTAAAATCCAAGGGGGCCAGAGGCCAAATACATTTATTTATGGAGAGATGAAAATATGAGGAAATCAAATTATTAGTATCATAATGGTGAGGCAGAGATAAGAAGATAAGGGAGAGGGGGCAAAGAGCCCTCCCAAGTTTATTTTGAATGGATTAACTGGAAGTTTTTGATTGGGAGAGAAAACTCTATGAATAATTAAACCTGGTCTAAGGCAAAAGATACAGACAAGGTTTAATTGCGTCTCCTGGCAGCCTTCTCTCCTCATCACCATGCAGTTCCAATTGGGTATCCAGGCATTCTGGATCTGCCATTTTCTTCCCACCAAAACATCTGTGGGCTTCCCATTCCTTCACTTGATAAGATTATTAAGTATCTTATTCTTCATGAGCACTCATCTCTCCTCGGCTTGGGTCAATCAGATATGTTATTGGTGCTAGTGGTTTAAGTGACTGATACTATTCCTTTTAAATCCTGCCATTCAGGACCGATAAGCCCTTGAGGAACTGAGCTGAGAGAGGGAGGAGGCACCACAGCATGCCTGGGAAGGAAGTCCTCAGGGATAGAGAGAGTCAGGGTCCCTGAAAATCATGTCTGTTATGAAGTTGATGATTAAGCTGCCATGAAATTGATTCAAAGAGGGCAAGAGGGCCCTGCATTCATTCTGACCTGATCTTCACTCTATCTGCAAAGACATCAAGTGCTTCCCTGTGACTTTTTAAATGCAGTTAACAAATCCTGGTGATACTGTGGAGATGAGTGGATTGAAGCTATATAAATGGAGCATCATCCTCCCTGACTCATATACCAACTTGGCGCACATATTCAAACTGCTATTTAAAAAGAAGAAAAAAAGGAAATTAAAATGTCATTTATTATTGTATATGCATGATTGTTCACAAGGTCTGTAAATAAACAGCATCAGGTCCTTGTCCTGAAGGAACTCGTAGTCTATGTATGGGACAGCCTGTCTTCTTATATCTATTTCTAGAATTTAAAAAGAAAAATATAAAACTGATGAGAGGTGTTGACATGCTTGTTTGCCAGTAAAATGTTAGAGTCTCCAAAAAAAACTGCCACTGAATTTTATCTCAAATGGAAAAGATTTTGTTTATACTTCTCTTCAAGATATTTTGTGAAAAATCTAGCACTCTGGAGAAATATGTGACATGAAAAAAGGATTTATTACTTAGGGATTTGAATTATGCATTTCCGGGTAATATTGCTTTTAGCAAAAATAAAATATGAAATATAAATACATAATTTTATTAGTTTTAATATATGCTAGTAGTACTGCTAAGAAAGATTGCTTTTTGAATTCTATTCAGATTATAAGTAGATATTCTCTATTCCAAGGAGGAACAGAAATGAAACCAATTAGATGCTTCTGCATCACATAGACTAATTTCCAAATTTGAGGAAAACTTTGATTTATGTTCCAATGCCATAGGAATAATCAATACTGTAAGAAATGATTTAAACTACTTTTGAGGATACTGTTAATGACAGGACTAGACATGTCCAGCTGGTTAGAAACTAGCCATAGATCAGAAAACTAGAGATTTACCACAACTGTTGACTTTTGCTTCATTTTCCTTACCTCCAAATCAGCAATAATATGCTACTTAATTCTAAAGTTGTTGTTGTGAGTATGAAATAAGAGTTCATAGGGTGGAAAACTGAGGAACAAAGGAAAATGTGTGGTATAAATTTGAACTATTATTGTTATGTCAGTGTTCCATGTTGAATGCATAAATAACAGCAGCCAAACCCACAAACTAATACAAAGATTATTTCTTTATAAATCTAATTTATATGCTTTTCTTTCTGAAAAAATGACAAGTAAGCATCAGTTCATCATGAATACTCTTGCATACTCAGTGGGGGACTTAGAAAACCCAGTGCTGTGATCAAGGCTTGCCTGCCCACTGAGGCTGGTGCAGTGTCTTTGCATGCGGCACCCCCACCAGCCACAGGAGAGGGGCTGAACTGGTTGCAGAGGGCAGCAACATGGAAGGACCAAGAGGATGATGATTATTTTCCTTTTTACACCAGTATACTGTCTTTTCCCTGGTTGCTGCATTCCAGATTATAGAGAATAGACTCTAATTTAGAATACTAGTCTATATAGCATGTAGGCCCTCTCTTGAGTAGTTACATTAATCAACTCTACTACTGTGTAAAGAGATAAAAGCAAACCTTAAATTCATCCTCAAAAACAAGATAAATCCCAAATGAAGTTAGTTGCAAATTTACCCACTCGATGCCGCTGTCTTCTTCCAAACAGTTTTCCTTTGATTTTCAAATGGAAAGGAAGTGATGAGGCAGAATTGGGGCCCAGAAAGTCGCCAGGGGAGAGAGGTGACTTTACTGTTTGTCTTCCCTTCCTTCCCCCAACCAAGCATGTGTGCCCATGGATACCCTGAACAAAAGGCACAGTGCATGGATGGTCAAGGGACTTTGTGGGAATGAGTAATAGTTTCTCCTTGCAAAGATACTTCATTCCGAAGCCCTGTACATACTCATCTGTATGAGAGGTGACATAGACAGGGGACTGACAGAGCAGAAACAGTTTCCCAGGTACAGTAGTTCTGTGACTGAACTCTGTTACAGCCACCTCCTATCTTGCCTGGTGCACAGTTGATTATTTGAGTGAGATTAATCAACATGGACAGTTGATTATTTGAGATTGTCCAGTTGGGAGAATGACAGTTAGCCCCATTATTGTCTGCCCTAGTTGGCAAGGCAAATGCCACTCTACTAGTTTCAGGAAGCAACAGAAATAAGGAAAACTTAGTTTTACTGTTATCATACATTAAAAATTGTTTTCCTACACAAGGCCTACACGAGGCAAAATTTAGAAGATGAAAGTGTATGTGCTGATTACCTTTTTTCCATCCATCTTTCAGTGCCTGCTTCCCTGCGTCCTACCTTGTGATGATTTAGTAGCCTGGTAGCAAAACTACCTGCTAGATGTCCAGGCCCACACACCATGACTCACCTACAAGATCTTCTCTTCTGTATGGTACTCCATATTCTGGATGAATCCCAACTCCCTGCCCTATATCCCAGTTTCTCAGGAGTCCATTAAGTGACTGGCTAGCTCGTCTCATTACCTAATTTTAACCGGATACATTGGGAGGAGGCACTTAGAGAATATTAGTTCAGTCAATGGTGATTATGTCAATATTTTATACTTCCAAGGTAACATTTGCATTTTAACACCTGTCTTCAATAACTTAAAGTGAAAAGTGAAGAATTTCACTCAAGGCCATTAAAGAATATCTTTTGGAGTAAAGGAGGCTATTTGATAATCCTTAAATTGTTGCAAAAACATAGCGTCACCTGCACTTAAGCTTTAAATCTGACCATAATGTTTAAATCCATTTACTCTCTATCTTGTGACAGCAACCAGTAAGATTAGCTGATCCAGATTACTATGGTAGCATAACATAATGAACTCAGTTCTCATCTGCAGTACATTTTTTATTAGTCTGTGGTCTCAGAGGCAAAATTTGCAGCAGAGACTGTTCTGTTTGTATTTAATTACAAAGAACTGTCTTAATAACAAAACCAACTGTCTTAATTTCATCTCTAAGAGGCTGGATGCTATTTAAGATAGATATTTATGAAATGAATTGACAGAAGTCCTGGTGTGTGGTTATTCCTATTCTAGTCACTTTGAACTCATAAGGACATGGTAGAGCTTGAAATGGAATCTTAGAGAATATCAAAGGTAGGAAACAGGCTGTGTTTCATGTCTCCCTGACTCTCAGCTGGGGCTTCATAGTTTCAGAGGAGAAGAAGAAGCTGGTTATGATGGAGATGGGTCCCCAGAATTTCCACAAGAAATTACCTCTATGGAGTAGAAAGAATTTGTGCCATTCTGCTCTAAGCACAGAAGCTCTTACTATTGAAAGCAGTCCTCTTGCAATAATGAAAGAAATTCAGTCTTAAAAAGGGACCAACTTCTTATGCATGCAAGTCAGAGTGATACATAACTGTTGGAAATTTTTCAGGGGTAAGATTTTTGGTAGGAATATTAGTATTTTGTAATAAAACACATTGTAATAATGATTAGATTTATCCATACCTCATTTCCATAAAGTAAACAGAAGGAAAGGAGAAAGGAGGGTAATGTTTCTATGGTAGAAAGTAGTAAAACAGACAACTTTGCAAATTAATAACTATGCTCATGTTTCGAGCTGGCTACCAAGAAGTGACAACCTAAGTATAAGAGTAGCTCTGGTTGCTTAACCATAGCTACATATTGCTCAGGAAAAATGATCCTTAAGTGCCCTTTTTGCATGATTAAAGGTTGTCTTTGCAATATGATAAAGGGACATTTCTTTGGTACTGTATATAACATAGCTGTGTATTATATTATCCAGGTTTTTTTTCTATGAGTATACAGCATCAGGACTAATTTGATTCTTCCTAACAGAAAAAATAACCCAAACTATCTTAAGATTAAAAAAAAAATAACAATTTATTGGCTCAATGAAAAGCAGAGATCGTCCTGTCAGGGTGGCTTCATCAGGGGCTCAGAGAGTATCATCAGGATCCAGTTTCTCCAAGTCTCTGGACACTGCTTTCTTGAGTGTTGGTTATTTCTAGGTTAGTTCTTGTATTAGTTTTGTAGGTCTGCCACAGTAAAGTGCTACGCAAAAGGTGGTTTAAACAACAAAATTTATTCTCTCATTTCTGGAGGCTAGAAGTGTGAAATCAAGGTGTAGGCAGGACCGTTTGCTCCCTCTGAAGTTCTAGGGGAGAATCTGTTCCATGCCTTTCTCCCAGCTTCTGGTGGTGGCCATCAGCCTTTTGCATTCCTTGGCTTGCAGCTGCATCACTCGAATATGTGCTTCCATCAATCAGATGGCCTTCTTCTCTGTTTCCCTGCATCTCTGAATCTTTCTTTCTTTGTAAAGTCCTTGGATTTAGGGCCCACTACCATCCAGTAAGACCTTATCTTAATTTGATTCCAACAGCGAAGATCCTATTTCCTAACAAGGTTGCCTTCACAGTTATGGGGAGTTAGAACTTCAACATTTGGTTTGGGGTGACACAGTTCATCCCATGATGCATATGATAACAAAAAGGCTGACAGCAGCTCCTTAAATGTATCTTCCCAAGTTCAAACCCAGCCGAAGACAAAGTGTGTCTCTCTTGACAACTCAAGAAAAACCATGGCCTACCATTCACTGGCCTTACTGTGCTCATGCCTGAGTAGTCACTTTGGCCTTAGGGATGTGACATCCTGTTTGTCAGGCCTGAGTGCTCTACCCAACCCTGGAGCATATGGGCCGAGAGTAGAGGAAAGTCTGGCTTCTCAGAAGAAAATTGGAAATCATTACCAAAGATACTGGATGGCCAAGCAGTTCATATCCATCAAAGACAATTTAAAATGTGTCCAAGATAATATAATTAATGTATAGAAGTAAGATAATATAGACATGTAAGCTTCTATGTATCCACAATTTATTTTGTTTCTTTCTATTCCCAGTTTTCTTGAGATATGATTGACTTACACTAAATCGTACATATTTAAGGTGAAAATTGATGAGTTTTACGTACATATATGTATATACACCTATTGAGCCATTATCATAATCAAGATAATAAGTACATCTACCACCTCAGAGCAGTTCCCTCATGTCCTCTCATGATCCAGCCCTCCCTGGCCTGCTCATTCCTCTGCCACCCTTAATTTGCTTTCTGTCACTGTAGATTAGTTTGCATTTTCTAGAATTTTGTATAAATGGAAACATACAGTAGGTATTCTTTTGTGTCTAGGTTTTTTACTCAGCATAACTGCTTTGTGATCCATCCCAGTTACTATAGGTGTCAAGAGCTCCTTCCTGTTTATTGCTCAGTAGTGTTCATTATGTAGATATACCATGGCTAGTTTGTCCATTCACTAGTTTATAGACATTTGGGTTATTTTCAGTTTTTGACTATTATAAAGAAAGACCTCAATTGTGGAAACATTTATTTAAAATTGGAATTTCTTTTATTTAATAATGAATTATGTGTGAATACAACATTCACTGCAATATTTAGAAAAAATGGTGATAAAATTTTTCCTTTTTCTTTTCCAGATACTGAGGAGAGCAGACAAAAATGGTAAGACCAAAAATCTATAGTTTCTATTTATTAATCTCTTACCTTTTAGATTATCTCATAAAGAATAATATGGAAGCAAGAGGACAACCGAAGAAATTGACACTTAAAATGTCAGTTTGTTGTACTAGTTGGAGTTTTAGGCAATTTCATGCCTCTAGATATTCATGAGAAGTTGACAGAGATATTTACATTTGACAGGAAGATAGAAGTTACTCCTTTGAAGTTATACTTGGGCTCTGGCTTTTCCCTTTTATGCTTTAAATTAATTTTAAAGCACTAACAGCTGCTATTTGTTGAGTTTCTACTGTAGGCCAGGCATTTGGCCAAGCACTTTGCACTCATTTTGTCTTAGAGTGAATAAGGTATAGATCTGAGACTTGAACCCAGGTCTATGTGACACCAAAGTCTAGACTTTCCACACTGAACTTCATAGTGGCCTTGGGGGCTCCTGCTGTACTCTTAAGATGGCTACCTGGAAGCATGGATTGCCAGACTTATCTCCACTCCTTGGCTCTTGACCATAGCTCTCCCATTTGAAGTGTATGCGCTGGAAGTGATAATCTATAGAGACAGAAAAGTGGGAGAAACTAGAAGGAAAAATTACTCCATCAAAGGAAATACTGTTTAAGTGATGCCTGCACAAAGTCCAATTATAAGCTGTGATAAGCAACATCTTTTTACTCCTTTTTTCCCCTACAGATTTTGTTCCATAGAATACCAAATCAGGGCTTACTGAGTTTATTTTTCTGCTATACTATAAGTACATAATAGAGCTATATTCTTGACAAGAGCTTCTTGACCAGTTTAGGATACAAAGAGTACTTTCTTATCTATGGGGGGAGATTACAGGCAGAGTCCAGATCTGACAGTTGTAGTCTAGTTAGCCACCAGGCAGCCAGGCCAAGAAAAGTTTGACTGGCACTGTACACCTTTCCACAAACAGAGAATATATTAACCCAGGGAGCAATAAAATAGTGTCGCAAATCTTGATAATATATAACTAAGCCTGTCCATCAAAATGTTTTCTAAAATTATGTTGTTATCAATTCAAAGGGGCCTTTTTTTCACTTGGACCACTTGATTAATTTTAAGACAGATGGAATGATGCTATTACCTTTTCTCCTCATACCACGCATTGCCCTTATGCCTGATATCCAGCTCCAGTGATGCCAAAAGCACAATTGAATCATCCGTCTATCTCCATGCTACCTGCCTCGTATTTCAGCAGCCGTTTACAGCTCAGGAAGGCATTATCTCCCTCTCTTCTCAAGTTCCTAGGCTCCACCTTCCTTTGCTTGGACTCCAAGGCTCCTGTTGAGGGTCGCTATTAGCTTTGTATCTGTCACTCTTCTTTCCAAAAAACTTGCTTCTTTGGTGACTCACTATCATAATCCATAGTTATAATAAAAAGCACCTGAAAAAACAGTTCACATGATTTGATGGATTTTATGACAACTTCATACATTATGCTATTTAGAGTGGTCACTTACACTGGCAGCCCCATGTGGTCCTGTTCAGTCCCATATTTCCTCACCTGCCTCCGCGCCTTATATGATACCTCTCTCGTCCTTGCTCCCTGTCCTAACACGTGAGCCTTATGTGCTGTCAAAGTCACCTGCCCTTCTGCTCTTATTCCCACAGTCTTCACCAGGCCCTCTGCAGTGCTTGTGATTTCCCGTCTGCCGCACCTCTGTGCTATTGTCCCCGCTTTGATCTCCACCTGCTCTAACATTTCCATGCCTAGCCAGCTTGAGAACTCTCATGTATTACTTGCATGCCTGCTCGAAAGGCACCTCATCTAGGAAGCTTTCCCCAGGTCCCCCTGGCAGGGCCCCACCCTCTCTGTGCTCTCCATACTTTGGCATCTACTGATTATTGCCCTCATGGTGAGGATGGCAGTTGTTTGTGGGGATTCTACTTCTCCAAGCCAAACATGCCTCTCTAGGGCAAGGAACTTGTCTTAAGAGTAGCCCTGGGCCCAGCCAGGAGTAGGTGCTCAGGGGTGTTCATTTAATGAGTTAATAATGATTAAGAACATTCCACTCCGTTATTACTCTTCTCCCTCATTCCCAGTGTAATGTGAGGGGAGGGCAGATTCAGGCCACTTTGGGTTTAAATCACAGTGGTGCCACCTAGCTTGGTGGCTTTGGGTAGGTAACAAACTGCACTCTCAGCTTTCTCATCTATAAAATGGAGATAACATCTACCTATGTCATGGGGTTATTATGAATAATAAATGAGATAATATAAGTAAAGTCCCCAGGCAGTGCCTGGAACATAGTAAGAATTTGCACCTGCTCATTTTCTTCTATTATTATGATTAATATTATCACTATTACTACTGAAAGCTTGAACTGTTTTTGTGTTGTGGTGCCTTGACTATTGGAGACACTTGGTGACATTCTAGTCATTTCTATTTCAGTGGAGTTCAGTGGGAAAAAAATGACTATTACAGGTGCAAAATGGAAAAAGGGAGAAAGGATAGTGGATAATATAATGTAAATGAGAACATACCAACATTAAAAAACATCTTTCTGTACCATGTGTTCATCACATTCTGTATTTGCAAGTAAACAGCTGCTACATGTATTTGATCTCTGGGTAGCAGACCCCGTATGCTAGAAACCCTTGAGGACTGCACAGTGGGTGATGGAATAACAAGGAATAAGCGGTGATAAGCAGTGTGATAGCTAGCCTGCCAGAGTGCACATTTGGCTTTTGGAATTTATCTGACATGAAAGAAAAGCTACTGGAAAAATGGGAAAAAATACATGATTAATGATTAGTTATAATAATGGTGTCTTAGAGAGATTTTTTGTTATGGTTGTTTTTAAATCATTGGCTGGGATTTTAGACATAAAGGTAGACCTCAGAATAGGATTGCTTAGGAGAGATGTGAGTGCTTTGATATAAAGAACCCAGAATTAAACCTAGAAATGCAAAACTCCTGAGAAAGCTTACATATATGTGGGTGAATGAAAATGGAAATGATACATTGGTATTTGTAAAATTTGCAAAAAGATATTTTTAACCTTAGAAAAAGTCGCAATGAAAAGGGTCATAGTAGTGAATAACACCATCTGATTCCTGTTGTTGATGTGCACTTGCTAAAGATCCATGGCCATTCTCCATCTGCCCTTCTCGGTCAGCAAATAGGTAGGCTGTGTGGGTGGCACTTTTGGTCCCGATTTAATGCCTGATCTCATTAAGAGATGGTTATGGTTCTCCTCAGTGGCTTTTAGTCCCCTCCAGCAGCCTGTACATTGTGAACCTGTGAGGGCTGAGACCGGGCCTGTGTCACACAGCACCAGGCCCACAGCGGGGAGCAAAATGCCTGTCATAACATAGGTGCTCAATAAATATTTGTGAATCTCTTTGTAAGACGTGCATAACCAACAATTTGACCTTGAAAACTGAAGATGAAACACAGTTATATATATCAGTTCATCAAACCAACATTGCTATTATTTACCTGTTGTTTATTAATTAATAGTATTAGTAAAATTTATTGAGGACATATTGTGGGTGAGACCCTACTCTAGGTATATACATTTTCCTTAGTCATTTTGAAAAGTATACAAAATAGATGGTTTAGAGCCATGGGAAGAACACAGGCTTTAGTTTTATGATGTTGAGTAAGTTACTCAACTTCCCCTGCCTCAGTTTCCTCATCTGTGAAAGAAGAATAATATTACTTCTCCCATTAAGTTGTCTTAAGAATTAAATGAGATTACGCCTCAAAAACAATTAGTCTTGATCTCGCACATGGTAGTTGCTAAATGTTTTAGCTATTTTTATTATTTCCCCATTTTTTAGATGAAGCAAATGAAGCTCAGAGAGGTTAAATAATTTCTCTGGGTTACGTTGTATGCTAACAGCAGAACCAGGATTCTTGAACCCAGGTCTGTCTGAGTCCAGATTTGGTGATCTTTCACTATATTATGTATCACATGTATTTCAGTCTACACATACATAACTATAATTATAATCATAACCTGAATTTGCAAAGATCTTGAATATGATGTTCTGATTCCCCAATGCACAGTGGTTTTATTGATTTAATGCACTAAATGCTTCCTTGGTGATCTAAAATAGTTAACACTCTTTCAATTACTAATTCAAGAAAATAATGTTGGCTCGAAAAACCCTAGTCTAAGAACAGTTGATGTTGTATTTGTGTATTTGGGATATTTTGAAGACTTCAGGGTATCATTGTATAACCAATGTTAATAGATTAAGTGAGAATTGGTAAGAACCTTTCAATTTGTTTGCCCAAAGTTTGGTTTATTCAATCAGCATATAAAAATGTGAGCTCAGGTAGAAGGGTGAAACAAAGGTTTGGTAAGTGGGAGTATTTTCCCTGAAGATGAGGAACTTCCAGAGTACCATCCAGAGGTCTGTGATTCTGTGTTTCTTTTTTTTGTGTGTGAGGAGGATTAGCCCTAAGCTAACATCTGCCGCCAATCCTCCTCTTTTTGCTGAGTAAGCCTGGCCATGAGCTAACATCTGTGCCCATCTTCCTCTACTTTATATGAGGGACGCCTGCCACAGCATGGCTTGTCAAGCGATGTGTAGGTCTGCACCCAAGATCTGAACCAGCAAACCCCGGGCTGCCGAAGTGGAACCTGTGAACTTACCCACTGCTCCACTGGGCTGGGCCCCCTCTATGTTCCTATGTCTTGGTAACAAGGCTGTCCTTTGATGTGAGCTGCTTAGTCAGGCATCACTGGCCCTCCACTGGGCTCCACAGCCCTCTGATGGTCTAATCAGGGGTCCTAGCCCCCCCAAAATATGTAAAGACTAAGGGTTGGCCCTTGAAATCAGGATTATAATGCTGATTTTTATTTCGTAATTCCTCACTACTTTCTCAAACTGAGGAAAATTAGCAAAGCTGAGAATCAGATAACTGATTACAGAGCAGTCGGGATCAGAGACCGCGTAAAACTCATGTTTGCTCTCAGGCATATGCATACTTGCGAAGGCTTCAGCAACACACCTCC